TCACCTCACCCCTCCCTCATCCCCTCCAGCCAGTAGCCATGTCTCAGGTCCCCCGCAGACTGCAGGAGGACGCCTTGCTGAGGGTCCGTCCCACAGGCCTCCGTGCCGCCACTGCCCGCCCTATGACCATGCTTGCCGCCTTTTCAGGCTCCGAGTCGTCGGCCTCGCCGCCGGCCTTCTCGCCGGGCATGGACTCGCCGCGGCCGCCGCCACAGGCTGGCCTCTCTGGCTTTGGCGGGCCGGTAGTGGCCCCGCGGCTGGCGGGAACAACCGGCGCGCTTACTGCTGACCAGCAGCAGTGGGTTGCGGCCGTCCGCTCGCGTATCTCGTCGCAGTCGCGCTCGCGCTCGCGGTCGTCGTCGCTCGCGCCGGCGCGGCCGCGGGCACCAGCCCGGGCCGAGATCACGCCGCAGCGCGCAGGAGTCATGGCTGCCGCCACACTCATGCCGCCGCCGACCACCACGCTCAAGCGCCGTCGCGACGAGGGCGCGCTGGCCCGCCAGGGTGCCGTGCCGACGTTTGTCACGCCGCGTGCCGCCCAGGCCGTCTCCGTCAAGCGCCGTCGCGTCGCCCTTGACCGCGCCGCACCCGGCGGCTTCTCCAACCTCATCCGCATGGCGCGCGTCCAAGCCTTTGGTCAGACCGTCAAAGAGCTTGACGTGGTCATGACCCTCGTCCGCAAGACCATCGAGCAGCTCCGCATGGAGGGCGCTGCCTTTCCCGAGTACACCCGCTTCCAAGCCGAGCTCGAGGGCGAGTTCCACAACTTGCTCAGCCTTATGGACGAGCAGCGCTCGCTCGAGCGCGGCACTGCGGCCGTTGTTGACGCCAAGAAGGACCTGCGCGCAAAAATCCTCGCCCAGAAGAAGCACATCGCCCACCAGGAGGCCCTCATCGCCAAGGCCCAAGCCGAGCTCGACGCCGTCACTGCTGACGTCCACGCTGCAGAGGGCGCCCATGACTTTGTCTCGGCTCTCCAGCGCCTTGTTTCCACCTCGGCCACAGACGCCGCTTCGCGCCCCTCATCCGCCGCCGCCACCTCGCGCGCCCACCACACAAATCTGCAGGCTCAGCTTGTCGCCGCCGTCACCGCCGCCTCCAACCTCGACCATCTCCGCGCCATCAACGAGCGCCTTGCCGCTACCGTCGTTGCTGTCTCGGCGGAGCGCTAGCCGGCACCTCTAAATGTCATACCTGTCTGGTCCAACCTCGCCGTTTAGTTAAGTCCGGACGGCCCTGACGGACCGGCTGAGCTTCCACTGGCACCTCCTTGACCGCGCCGGCGCCACTTGCCACGCTTGATCTTGACCTTTTTCCGTCGGCTCGGTGTGACGAGGTTCGGGCACGACCTCTCCGCCAGCCGCTCCAGCGCCTCTACACTGGTATCAGCTCCCTCGAGCGTGAGCTCGCGCAGGTTCTTGAGCGAAGCCAAGAGCGGGAGATGAGCGTCGACAATGGTGTCGTTGGCGCAGCTGAGCCGGAGTCGAGTCAGTCGAGTCAGCCGCCCCACAGCGCGCAAATCGGACGGTGTGAGCCACCCGACGTGCGGCAACATGGTACCCGGGACTGCCGATTCGACCTGGCCGGCTGCAGCGGCAAAGCCTGTCACTGCCGCCCCGGATTGCGTCTTCTTGAACGACGGCAGCTGCTCCGAGGAGATCGACGCCGTCACGTCGAGGACGGTAAGGTTCGGAACCCTGCTGAGGAACTTCGAGAAGAGCGACGGCTGCGACCGGAACATGTCAAAACGGTTGTGGAGGTTGAGATCCACGAGCTTGGGCATCGGTGCAATGCGGTCCAAAAGGTCCGCTGCAGGCGTTTCAAACGAGTCGACCGTAATGAGCCGCGCCGAAAAGTCGAGCCTGCTCAAGTGCCGGAGCGAGTGGGAGATGACCGGCAGAATCTCGAGGCTCGCTATCGACCAGTCAATGGCTAACATCCGCAGCTGCGGCATGTTCTCACAAATGACTTGGACACACTCGTTGTTGATCCCGCACTTGGAGAGATAGAGCATGTTGCAGTGCTGGAGCGTCCGCAGCATCGGCATCAGCTTGGCTGCCTTCACTCCGAGCATGTGACTGGCAGTGACACACGGCACGTTTGCGAACAGAGGGTTGCCGCCAAAGAGAGCCTCCATCGCACCGCTGGTCATGCCAATCGGCGAGTCGACTTTGAGCAAATTGTCGAGGCGCAGCTGGCACGAGCTCGCCACCAGCATCGCCACCCGCCGCCAACGCTTGCACACTGCCGCCACCGTACCAAGCCACGTCCACTTTCGGGAGACGGCGAGGATCCTCACCAGCACAAAGGTTGGCAGCCGCGCCCACTCGGCCTCCCCGTCTGTGCCAATCCGCTCCGCGTCGTCCGCCACCAGCGCACGCGCCTCGGCCTCGCGCCACTCGACCGCCTCGATGCTAGGCAGCTGCTCCAAGCCGATGTCAAACGATGTCAGCAACTTGTTCCGATTCCCGAAATGCATGCTCGCTCTTCCGAGTTGCTCTTCGAGTCTCCGATTGAGCGGCGGCAGCGCGGCCATGATTTGGGCCACGCTGTCGGAGTTCCCATCGTCGAGGAGTGCGCTGTATGCGGACGCAGAGACGAGTGCCTTGGCGGGCGCAGGCGCGGGGGCTGAGGCAGGCGCAAGCGCGGGGGTTGAGGCAGGCGCTGGAGCGGGGGTTGAGGCAGGCGCCGGGGCCGGCGCTGGAGCGGGCGCAGCGGGCGAGGTGTGCGACGCAACGCTCGCTGTTTGGATGACGCCAAACAATGCCATGAATGGGTCGACAGCCACGCTGGCCAACTGGCGTCCGGTGCCGGGCGCAGACAGAGTGGGCCGACGGGCGATGGCACGGCTTGGCCCGAAGCGACCGGAAGCGGCCATGTCTGCCACTACCACGAGCGAGTCAATCGTCTCCGGATCGGCAGCGAGCGGGTCGTCAGTGCTGGCGCGTGTAGTGGCAGCAGAGACAACCGCAGCGTGTAGCGCGTCCAGCGCCGCGGCCACGGCCTCCTCGCCACCGTCCAACTCAAGCGTCTGCATCATCCAACTCTTCAGCTCCGCCATGCGCACGTTCGGTGACCGATCCTGCCCCCGGGCGCCCTCGCCACCAGCCCCACGCTTCCTCCCGCTCCCTTTCGAGCAACCAGAGTCGACCGCCGCCACCTCTGCGGCCAATGCTGCCATGAAAGACGCCACGTCGGCCTGTCGCACCCGTACGCGGTCAGGAGCGAGCATATCAACCAGCAACAGAGAAAGAGAGGCGGGTTGCTTGCTTGGTCGGTCTGTCAGTCTGTCGGTCGGGTGGGGGTGGGCGGGACTGTCCCTCCACCGCAAGGTAGTGGCCTGCCACTTCTGTCGTCCGAATCCGCCCCAAAGTGCGGTCAGTCTGCCTACCCCCCCCCCCCCCCCACCCCACCCCACCCCACCCGCCCCTCCTCCCCT